TTACTGCAATAAACAAAAAATTAAAAACAAACAAAAAAAATTTTGAATTAATAAAAATATTTTTTAAATTTTTAAGTATTTTTTTTAATCTTTTCAATAATGAAAATCATTTTATTTTACAGGTAAAATGAAAGGCCTGGCATTTATTCAAGATCCTGATGGCTACTGGATTGAAATTTTGAATCCTAACAATATGGCAACTATTATTTAGTTCTGTGACAATACTGTTTTGAGATTTCAGTGAAGACATTATGGGAGGTAAAAAAGGAAACAATGTGATTCAGGATATTCAGATGACAGAAGCATCTAGGGCCGATGGATCATGTCCCAATTCAAATTACTTTTCAGTCCTTTTTCCTTTCCTATTTCAGCTGTTTTTCACCTAACTGTTCAGTCATTCTAGTTTTAAAGCAGTGCTTTGTCTTATGTCCTTGACTGTAGTTGTATAGCTTTACTTTTTTAGGTAATAATTAGAACAGTTCCCTTCAGAAGCTGCATTTGCCTTCTATCTCCTAAATATGACTTCTTTACCAGTCTGCCTTTGAATCATCATTTTCAAAAATAACATTTAAAATGTTTTTGTTGTAGTTACCTTCTGGGGTTTCAGTTCCTCAGAAATAACTTTGCACAATGGAAAGTAAAGAACACTGAACAAAAATGAAACTTCATGTGTACTTCAAATATTAGAAAGTGTTTATTTTACAGAAGAGAAGGTACTCTTGGGAGCAATTCAGAATCATGCTGACAAGGATGCTGATAGACAAACTAATTTCTTCTTATTTACAAAGTATTTTCAAAGTTCAAAGACTACTAACTTCTTTATTTTGGGATGGGGAGGAGGATGAGAATATTATTTGCTGGGTATGCAGACACTGGAGTAGGCTGTCACATACTTTATCTCATTTAATCCAACTGGCCTGTGATTTCTCAGGCTAGACATGCAAACTAACTAGAATGAACTGAAGGCAACATAAATAGACTCACGTACTCAAGATCTCATCATCATTTTTAGTATTTAAATTGTACCTCAAAAATTAGCACCTCACAATCCCTCATCTGCTAGTCTTCTGTTGTAAAAACCTTCAGTGAATTTGAGCATTGTCCTCTCAGCTCTCGGGCCTGAGTACCACCGTGCGGGGAGAAGCAGTGGAGGAAATCAGTAGCACACGACTGCTCTTGGCTGCCCACTTGTTCCTGCACAAGTGGTGCTTGTTACTTGTGAGGAGCCCGTATCCCAAGGTCTTCCAGATGCCAGTGATCATGTAGGATAAATTACGTTCAGTGATAACATAACTTAGTTATCAGAAATCAGCTCAGTGGTCTTCCCTGCCATGATTGACATTTGATGGGTTTTAAAAAAGCAAACTGATTTTGAAAATGTCTTATGGCCCAGAGAATAAGAATATCCAGTTTGTGGTTTAACTACAGTTAGATTTTCTATAGACTCTAGTGGAAGACCTTTGGGTAGGCCATGCAGACTGTGCTTATACTGCTAGAAGCACTTTACATTTCCTTTTTGGATGGAATGGATTCATGTGAGCAATTCAAACAAATAGCAGTACTTACAGACCGAAATAAAGTAAAATTTTAAGTAAGACTATGTTTAATTTGTAAACTTCCATCCAGCATGTTCTTTCTTAACAACAAATAAGGCTGCCCTACGGGAGTAGTGTAAGGATTTGAAGGGGCTTGCAGGCTCATTCTGAACTGGGAATAGTTGTAATTCTGTACACCCTGCAAAGCAGATAATTTCTATGGATAAGGGAAAGGTGGGAAGAAGAAAGTAAATAAGGAATAAAGGATTGTGGTAGAAAAAGTGCAGAGAAGAAAGGCCAAATATCAAAAGGTGAGTTGTGGGAACCAATAAAGACCAATTTCACATGTTGGGTACTAGAATTGTCAAATGGGACGGTTATTAGATTCATAAATTCAGTCACTTAGACCTTATTTCCATGGAAAGAAGCCTTCTCTTCTCGCTAAGTAAAATTTGCCACACGACAGCCCTTGCTTATTCCTTAAATTCATCCCTTTATGCATTGAAGAAATACATATTGTATCACCAGGCTTTGTTAGGGATTAGGACAATTCACTTACTTCCAAATTAACTTCCCTGAGAAGTGGTGATATAAAAGGGTGAAGAAGAGCACAAGAAGTTTTCTTGTTTTCCACGATTGGACAGCAACACTGTGTAGCTTACTGTCGATGTAAAATGAATCAGTCTCCCATGAGCCCTGCACAGCTAAGCCTGGGACTCAGTTATAATACTGAGTGGTTGGAATTAGGAGCTGATGGCTGAGAGAGAATCACTTGTGGCTTCCCTATATGGCATTCTGACCAGGATTGCATACAGGGTATATAATATTCCTTAGCAACACAACTACTTGTGAAGAGGGTTATATCAGTAAGGATGCTTGCTGTTGGCGATAAGAAAAGACCCAACGCTATCAGATGTAACAAGCACTTCTGAGTTTTCTGGAATGGGTTGATAGAGGGTTCAGAGATATCAAGAACCTCTGTTTCCTTCCATCTTTCCCAACTTGTCATTCTCAGTGTTTTCTTTTGGGCTAATAATATTCATGATCAAAGATGCCTATGGTGATTCCACGTGTCATGTATACACCAACAATGTCCAGTGAAAGAAAATAACCTTTTGTTCCTTGTGTCTCTTTAATGGGTATAAAACCTTTCCCAAAGCTCCTCAGCAGAATTCCCCTCATGTCTTGACCAGAACTGGGTCACTGCCTGTCTCTAATCACTGGCAAAGGGAGTGAGACCACTCTGACTGAGATGATCATATTTCCCCAAGTTGCCTGCACGAGGGTGGACGGCTGGATCAAAACCAAGACTGCCAGAATGGAGGAGTAAGCAAGGGCTTCTGAGCAGGCGTAAACAGAAACTGCAGCAGGGTGAAATTAAATATTGAGAGCCTAGTTGGTGCCGGGTGCTGTAAGAAATCATAAGACATTTCCTGCCCTCAGAGAGCTTGGTCTAAGATTGTGGTTCTCAACCATATCAGAGTTAGCAGACTCTTTTTATTATAACATGGGAATATTTATAACATCTATCACAGCCACTATCCTAAAATGAAATTCATATGTAGCTCACCTATATAAACAATTTCAAAAAGGGTCAATTCGGTGCCTTTATTGTAATATAAAGGAGAAATGAAATCAATTTGTAATAAGATTATGCATTTCGATATGTAAATGCCAGATCCTACTGCACTGAAAACAATGAAGGAGTCAGGTGCTTGCTCTTAACTATGGAAGAAGTAAAACTGTTCAGTAGAGTATAGTTAACACTTTGATATTTTAAAATAAAAACTGAATTCATGATTCATGAAGAGCTATAATGTTAATTTTAAGTGCATACTGATAACAGGTGTGTTTTATTGGTCACTCAAAGAACATGAATGTTACTGTTGGAAACATCATTTTCCAAAATGGTGATCCTGTCTGAAGTTTTGGATAAAAGAAGAATATTCCTTCTGTTTATAGGATAGTTTTGTCCCTACTGAATATTAAAATTATATATGCAAATAAGTAAAATAGAAGTTCTGGGCTCAGATAATAAAAAGGCTTTATAAATTTTTTTGAAATATAATTGACATATAACATTGTGTAAGTTGAAGATGTACAGTGTGTTGATTAGATATATTATATATTACAAGATTACCATCATAGTGTTAGCTGACACCTCTATCATGTCACATAATTATCATTTCTTTTTTTGTAGTGGGAACAATTTAGATTTAGTCTCTTAGCAACTTTGAAGTTTATAATATAGTATTGTCTGTAATCACTATGCTGTACATTATATCTCCAGGACTTATTTATCTACTAGTTACAAGTTTGTACTTCACAACTTGTAAAAAAATTTTAGAATAGTTTTAGATTTAAAGAAATGTTGCAAAGATAGTACAGAGGGTTCCCATATACCCCGTACCCAGTTTCCCTTATTTTTAAAATCTTACATCAGTATAGTACATTTGTCACCACTAATGAACCTATATTGATACATTATTATTGACTAAAATCTATACTTTATTCAGATTTCCTTAGTTTTTACCTACTTTCCTTTCTCTCTTACAGGGTCTTATCCGGGATACATTACATTTAGTCATCATGTCTCCTTAGGCTCCCCTAGAATGTAGTAGTTTTTCAGACTTTTCTTGTTTTTAATAACTTTGACAGTTTGAGGAGTACTAGTCAGATACTTTGTAGAGTGTTTCTCAATTGGGATTTTCTGAATTTTTTCTCATGATGAAACTAGTGTTAGGCCTTTTTAGGAGGAAGACTACAGAGGTAAAGTGGCCTTCTCAGTCACATCTTATCAAGGATACATACTGTCAACATGATGTATCACTGATGATGTTAACCTTGATCACCTGGCTGAGGTGGTGTTTGTCAAGTTTCTCCACTGTCAAGTTATTCTCCACTCACCCACTTTCTATACTGTGCCCTTTGGAAGGAAGTTAATATGTGAAGCGCACATCTAAGGTGTGGGGAGTTATGCTCCACCTCCTTGAGGAGAAAGGCAGGCTTTTTTTTTTTTTTTTTGG